AGCAAATATTACATTATAATTTTATGCATTAGCCCAGATATACACATGAACATTTGTTATCGTTTATTGTGATGTCTACTTCAACTATTTCGTAGATTTAAATGTTACCTGTGCCTGTGATAGATACAATTAGATTGGTTTTAACCTAAGGTAAGTAAGGAAATAGGAGATAAACGACAGCCATGTCTGACTGTTACTTTATATTACACACAGTATATCACATAATGATTTTCACACGTATTTGAATTTCTCTTGAAATAAAGTTGTATTTTGTTTAGTTTTGTTAACTTTAAATATTTGTTTTGTATTGTTACTGTACACGCTGAATATATATGCTACTTTTATGAACGACAGCGACCCATTATCTTTGGTAAAATAATGGTATCTTAATTATCCATTATACCTTAGCACCCAACTAAATCTATACTTTAAATAACTACACTAACTATAATTTTAATTTGCTTTTGTCCCTTATGGAAGGGATCCAGAAATAATTGACATAAAATCGTAGTATTGTAAAATAAGTGTACTTTAACATTACTTATAAAACGATTATTATAATATAGTTAATGTTTCTAATCTCTAAGTGAAAATAAGTTGTAATTTGCATTTTAAATACATCTAGTTGTAGTAGACGTGTTTAATTATGTAGCATTTGTATACATTTTTTTAAAAAGTTTCTAATAACTTTAGTGTATTTCGGTTTCTGATTTTGGATTTGTATTTGTTTTATATATTTGATTTGGTTATTTCCCTTGCAATAAAACATTTTTTTTTTCCTGAGAACAGGAAAGTGATAATATATTCAGCATTAGCCCGCGCCTTTCTTAAATTGAACTCATCATAATATGTCCAGTTACTATTATATTCTTTTCCGGGTCGGGGGAGGGGGGGGTGAGATCCTCACCGAACAGATTTTGAAAGGAGCTTCGTGTGTATCGCCTTTGACAATTCAACGAATATGAGGCTAACGGTGATGTGTTAGTTGTTACGTTGAGAGTTTGACATTAGAAGTTATAGAAATTTGAAAAGGCTTTGTTATGATTATCATGATAAAAAAAATGGGTTGAATAATAGTTTTAAATGTACAAAGTAAGCTCCTACATGTTTTTATTGTGTTGTGTTAAATAAAAAAAAAAACAATGCGACACTCTATCAAAAGCCTTTTCATCATCAAGTCTCAGTAAAAAGAGCAGCCTTGTAAAATTTGGAAGTAAGCCTGTCAAGACCAGGAGATGTATTGTCTTTTAAAATTCCTGTTTAGATTAAATATTGTTTCGATTCCATGGTCTTGACAGAGCTGTGGACGTCACGTGATGTTTTGTGTCGCTATCTTATCACAAGGACTACGTATCATTTGTATTTACTGTCTTGATATAAAACCAGCATTTCAGACTACAGCCCCGTTAACCAGGTTCACAATACGCCCCCACTCCATCGCTTCCTATCATAAATATTTCAAAATGTAAACAATGAGCGTGTAGACTATGTGGTGACTAGTCGATTTTTTTTTTTTAAGTTGGAGAAGCAGATCGTTTCAAAGATACACAGCCCCCAATGAGCATTGAACTCACTACCCCTGGTTTACAAGACCAGTGCTCTAGCCACTGAGCTATGGAGACGGGTATTTACGGTTATTTATACTTACTTTAAATCCTTCGTTCTTGTGTTCGAAATCCGAGTATTAAAGCCTGCCAAGGGGACAAAGTGGGATCAAAAAGGTGGGGCTCGAGGGTCTAAACTTCAACATTTGTGTGGATTGATCCCATATATCACTGTACACGTCAGTCTTTGTAAACATCCTAGTCACTGTATTGTCTACTCGTCTACTGTTGTACATAAACCTGTGACTGGTGACCTATGTGTGTCATGGTGCGTGACACGTTTTAGCTACACTTGGCTGAATTACCACTCACGCTACATATTGTTTGATTGCTATAAAGATTACTTTATGTATATTTAAAGAAATAAGACACGTAAAAAGAAATATAATAGTATAACTTTAGCATCAGTCTAGATATTAAAATAAATAAACACGCATAACATTTAAAGATGCAAATTGAACCATTGTTGCATTTTTCACAACACCTCGCTAGATCCGCCTCTCTGATGCCCTCTTAAATGTGACCTGTGCTTGTGACAACAATGGACCCAAGCGAGAATAGTCTCAAAGGTATTCGAAAGGCCCATTAAATAATTATAAAAGCATGCGTGATGTAATTAATATTAATATGGCTATACAATCGTGATTGCCTGGGTGTTTTTACTTTAACAAGAGTGGATGTATTTGGCGTTTTAGTATTTTCGGTAATTAAAGACAATTTTTAAAAAGCAGATGCAATTCGTTTTTCACGTGGTAATGGCAACATAAACAATACATCCTGCTATTCGATAGGCTTACATTTTATTATACAAAATACATTATGTTGTTTAAAAACTGTATCTGCAAGTTATGTAAACAAATAACTATCGATCACTGAGTCTCTGGCAGATGAGGCTCGTTAGGTGGGAATAGCCACTTTTCTAGGAGAGACAAGTCCAAAATCAAACAACTGCTGCCTTGTAGTTTTTTCTTGGTTGCCCAAAGGCTATGGAAGCAAATCCAAAAAAAAAGAAAAAAAGGTAAAATCGGAGTCAATGGCCTCAATGGCACATAGCCAGTTGACACATATACTTAATTGTGTTGGAGGTAATCCCTTCCAACACTAAAATGAAGAACGTAGAAGAAGAAAATCACGGTGTTCCTTTGTATCCAATCAATGTCCTTCTTACGAAAGTGAAACATCCGGTTATAACTTAGGCTCAGAGGCGTAGCGACCCTTCCCGGCGCCCGGGGACAAACTTTACGATTTGCAACCCCCCCCCTCAAGATTTCGATTTATTTCTCCAACATATGTCCCCCCCGCCCCACAACCCCCCCCCCCCCCCTTCGCTACGCTAATGCTTTGGTTTGATGAAAATAAATAGAAATGTAGCCTTTAACTAAAAAAAAATATTCTCAAGTTATCTGGACTTAAAACTTTATAGCATTGATTCTAAAAATAGTAATTGTTTGAATTATTCGTAGGCTTAATCTACGTTTGTAATTTTTTATTATATTCTTACGGCCGCTATCTATAAAGTCAAAATATATATAACATTTCATTTTTTTTTAAATTCATGTCTACAGTATGATAGAAGGATTCTTGTCAACTCGGTGGTCTCCATTTTGTGCTAGAAGACAGTCTACTGTAGAATAGTGAGTGCTATTGTAGATCACTGTATTCTCATTGATATATATATATATATATATATATATATATATATATATATATATATATCTATATATATATATATATATATATATATATATATATATATATATATATATATATATATATATATATATATATGTGTGTGTGTATGTGTGTGTGTGTGTGTGTGTGTGTGTGTGTGTGTGATCGTTGATGTTAAAAATAATACTTTATACTATATAATGATATGAATGAACTATGTGTGACAGTATAAAGTCTGGGCACATGAAGTAAAGTTGAGCGACCACTCAATATGTTGTTTCCGTGATTTCGCTCTTTGATTTAAATAACCTTAGTTTTATTTTAATACATTAAAATCAACAACAACAGAAAGCAACATTATTTACTCTCAAGTGCAATATTAATCAAAATCAGACACGCTGATTTTATTGAAGTTTTAATGTATAAATAATTTTTACTCATGTTATTAGAGCCAGAAGTTGACAAAGCCAACAGTAAAATATTGCATCAAATCTATAAATGGGACAATGATTTGATAAAGAAATATATTTAGGAGCCTCCTGGTAAAGTTCAACCCAATCTACAACAACCCGCTACAATCCGTTCTCAGAGGTCACATCATCGTGACCCATAGGTTGAGATCTATACTGCCTTTGGCCACCAGTGTTGTGGCCCAATGTGTTTGGGCCATCATGTCGAGTCAGACATGTCAAGTGGCCAGTGAACAAAACTAATATCTTTAAAATGTTGAAAGTCAATAATAGCGATGTGTTAATCTTTAGTCAGTGATTAACACAGAAGGTTCTAGCATTGTTTTCTCTAATATCAGCTCAATCTTTCTAGAAGTCATCCTCCAAAACAATTCCTGAGCTTTCTATTTTAGATGAATGCGTTTTTTAAAATGTACGTGTGTATGTATGTTGTTTTTTTTTTTTTTTTTTTTTTTGCTTTGATGCGATCCACCCAACCCTCCTCCAAGAGTGTAACGCTACAATGTCTGGTTATATTTAATTTGACAATAAAGGGTCATTCATAAATGACGTCACGCTTTTTTCCTCCCCCCTCCCCTCCGTCACACGTCGTCACAAAACGCAAGACCCCCCCCCCCCCCCGTAAAATGACGTCACACCTCAGCCTACACCCCCCCCCCCCCTCAAACTTGCTGTTGAATTTTTTCTTAAAACATCGACATTTTTTACAAAATCATGTCAGAACTATGTCAACATGGAGTATTTTGATCAATTCCTATTACAATTTATTAAAACCGTTTTCTTAAACGCGAAATAAAGCCTAAAACTCGTTTTCTAATAGTTTTTTAAGTAAGAAAAAACAATGCACAACTACACGAAAATCCCTTTGTTTAATTTTAATTCTGTATCCTTTACAGAAGGGACACAATTTTTAAATGCAAGGGAAATAACTTAACAAAATAGCTCAAACAAATACGAATCGAACAACTCATAACAAAATACACAAGGGGTATTACTGTTTTACTTATAAAATGAATGAAATTATTCTGTAGTCAAAATAACTGTGTACTAGTTATGGATAAAATAAAATACAACTTGTACTATATTTTCAATTATAATTAATAAACATTAGCTTTATTTTAAAAGTAATTATTTAAGTAGTGTTAAAATTTATGAAATTACGAGTTCACATATTGTATAATTTTTATTTCTGGATCCCTGACGTAAGGGACTAATTGATTCTAAGTAATATTTTCTTAAGATGACTGGTGTCTTTTTAATAGCAAATTGACTATCTCGAATAGGGTTGATAAAAATCAAAATGACTCTAGAAAACATCAAGCTTATCTACTTCGATGGCAGAAGTCGTGCTGAGGTGATACGGTTAATGCTGGCAGCAGCAGACGTCAAGTACGAGGACATCAGATACATTTTTCAGAGATGGCCCGCCGAGAAATCAAAAATGCCTTTTGGGCAACTACCAGTACTAAATATAGATGGCAAAATGTTTGGCCAGAGCCTTGCAATAGCAGCTTACATTGCCAAGGAAGCAGAATTTTATCCTAAAAGTAATCTTGATGGGTTAAAAGTGGATCAAGTAGTTCAGCTGGCAGTTGACTTTCAAACAGTAGCAATGACAGCTTTGTTTCACAAAGATGAAGCTAAAAAGAGTGAGCTTGAGAAAGAGCTCAAGGAAGTAGAAGTGCTCAAGTACTTAGACTTTTTTGAAAAAAATGTGAAAGAATCTGGAACCGGATATTTTGTTGGTACAACGTTAACACTTGCAGACTACTTCATCTATGATATAATCTCTGTGACTATAGACAGAGGAGTCCTCAGCACTTCCAAACATCCGTTAGCGGATGGGTTAGTTAAGAAAGTTGAAAGTAATGCTAATGTAAAAACTTACCTGGCAAACAGAAAGAAGACTGATTTTTAATACAGAATAGAAACGTCCAGATTTTAAAATTACCTATCCATTATAAAAAATTAAAGCTTTGTAACACAAAAAACAAACAACTGATGGCATCTTCACATTTTGCCACATTATTAAAACAGTTGTATGTAATTGACAGAAGTAATCTTTTTTTAATTAAGATATAAAAAAATACAATTTTAAAAATCTGTACTAAATTTAACTGTCTAAAGATGTTAATAATGTTTAAAATGAAAATTTCGAGGGCTTTAAAATTTGAAACTAACGCATTTGACAAACTTTCCAATTATATATTGTAGCATAAATATTTTATTTAATGAATAAGTGAATTTTAAAATGCTATCTGGCAAAATTAGATTTCATTTACTGCATTGGTTTATTGGAGTGAAATTCAGCGAATGGAAGTAAAGTTTATTGAATCAAACTTGACATTGGCTGTCTGTGTAAATAATTGCAATCCATATTTGATGTAATATTAAATCAATGCAAAATGTAAATAAATATCATGTAAAGATAAAAAAATAAGTGACTAATTAAAATAAAATTAACGGTACTGTTACGTTTTGTGTGGAAAACATACCACCAAACATTATATTTGTTTTATTAAGCATGATCAAAAATATTTAAATAATAGAGTACACTTGTGGTTTTTGGGTATTTAGTGACTTCAGCATTTTTCTGACATAATCCTATAGAAACGGTATTTGCTCTTGTCTTTCTTGTCTTTATGAATTTTACAATAGTCTATTTTTGATAGAGAACAAGAAACTAAGTTTGACGATTGACTTTAATGAGTCAAAAGAGTCTTTGCATTATTGCCTCAATGTGTATGTATGTGTGTGTGCGTGTGTGTGTGTGTTTAAACATGATGATTTCCGTGCGTTTTAATTAAGTGGCACATTGGCATGTCTAGTAGATCACATTCTCATTAGAACGAGACATAAAAAAAAAAAAATTACGGCGAAACGAATTAACAGTTGTGAATACAAAACTTAGAAATGCAGAAACACAACATAAATTGTTATTTTTGTATTTATTTGTTTTACATGTCTAGCATTTAAGGTACTTTGGTATAGACAATGAATATGCAATTGGACAATCAGTAATGGAAGAAAAAAACACTTTTGTATTATCAAACTCGAGTTGTTTGATTGTACTCTAAGCGGGATGAGTGCATGTCTATTACCTCCCCTTCATAAAACAAACTACAAGATATAAAAATAAGATTAACTGAGATGAATAAACACAAACAGCATGAAATTTTTTTTCGAACATCTTTAATGATTTAATTGTGTTGACTATTATTTATTTTAATCATTTCATTTTGAAGCAAGAAAGTAGACAGATGCAACTTTTATTCACATTGTTCTCTACAGATTGAAACAATCACGCTAAATCACGTTTTCTATTGATTTTTAAATTTTAATTTTTGGATCTCTTAGAAAAGGTAAAACAACAATTGATAATTAGCAAAAATTACCTGCGAAGGTTTATTGACGGCTGAAGGTAATATATTCGGTGATGCCGGGTCGATAAAGCTCATTGATGTTAAACCTAAAAGTTACGAGATGAGGCTCGATAGCTTGAGACAGCCACTCATTTGAGAGAGAAAACTCCAAAACTCAAACAACTGATGGTAGCACGTCAACAGAATGTAATGGCCATGGTATGGTGTCAGTATAGAAAAGTGTTTTATTCAGGCAACACTCCGGGTAATGATGGCATCTATGTTTACAAAATGAATACCTATATAGTAATCGAACAATGAAGGAAATAGAAAAAAAGGGTTATGGTACCGATGTGAATCTTTTATTTATTTTATTAAGTAATTATTGTTTTATTATTTCTATTGTTAACTATGTAAAAATGAAAAACACATTTAAAACAAAAAAGGTCATTATTTATAGTTGTTAGTACACGTTTAAATATTTTTTTCTAAGACGGTTCTTTTTTCAACTACAAATCTTCTTCTTTTTCTTCGTTCTTAATTTTTAGTGTTGGAAGACATCGAGCTTTATCTGCCAGAGGGTTCAATGAGCTCGAGACTTTTTCGAAATTAACAACCATAAGCTTTTTCGACTCGACCACGTGTCCAACACGATTAAGTATACGTGTCAACTGGTTATGCGCCATTGAGGCCATCGACCTCTTGCTACAGATAAATGTATCATACATTACCGCAAAGAAGAAAATACTATAAAAATATTTTTTATTAAAACAAAGAACAATAAAAATATGAAAAGAAGAAGAAAAGTGATGTAACAACAGTGATCAGTGTTTCTTCCAGATTTTTTTACTCCGTAGCTACATTTGAAATTTTCGAGGGGCGGGGGGCGGGGCTGTCAAAAGTATATATTTTCTATATAAATTCCCCCCCCCCCCCCCCCCGAAGAGATGCCTGGAGGAAAATCTGACAGTGATGTAGATGTTTCAATTATTGCGTTCTTGTGTGTACATTTTGATTTGATAGCTGTTTGTGTGTGTGAGGGGGGGGGGGGGGGTATTTGATCCTTTAATTACGTCGCCCATGAACCTCCGCGTGTATAGTATTTCTAGTTTTGTTTGTATATGCTTGTTGTGTCACTTTTGTTAGTTCTACACTTTTGACTTTTACTGCACATTCATTGTTTTATACATGAAAGTGTGTACAAAAACAACAAAGCGAACATTTATAAACTAAACAAGACACACGAGTCTGTACACCTCCACTTTAGATGGACACCCTGGTTTAGAAGGGCACGTAGAGACAACAGTTTAAAAAGTTCGATTCAAATGTTTTAAAATGTTGTAAATAGAATGTATGTATTGTCACTATACAAGCTGAATATAAATGATAAATAAATATATGAACGACAGCGACCCATTAGCTCCCAACTAAATTCTTACTGCAATACTATACTAACAATCATTTAAATTAGATTTTGTCCCTATTTGCAAGGGATCCAGAAATAATTTGCTAATAATATAAAGGTGATTTCGTAAGGCATATTTTAACAATAATTCAGCAACGATTCTTAAATTAAAGTTATGGTTACTCTTTTCAAAGTAAAAATAAGATACAAGTTGTTTGCTGTTTGTTTTTTTTTTAAATCTAAAACTAGTACACTTATGACTACTGTAGAATTGGAGTTATTAACAAAGTAAAACTCTGATAACTATGGTGTATTTTTATTTTTATTCACAAATCGTATTTGTTTAATTTATTTTCTTAAGTTATTTCCCTTGCATGTCAAAAATGTTTTTTAACTACATGATGATGATAATGCCTTCTATCTTAACCGCGCCTATTATTGTGTTATTTGTTACGTTTAGAGTTTCATGTGAGATAGCTTTGTTATGATTATCATGATCACACAGTTTAACAAACCATTGGGTCAACTTCAGCATGAGTGGACAAATGGCTGCTAGTTAGAGCCCCGCCTTCCTTCTTGGACAAAATGTTCGAAAGAAATTCAGCACAAAATACTTTACAATCTGTGTTAAACAAATAGAGCGTTTTTTCCTCATTTTTAACTGCTGGGTCTGATACCTGATACCAATAAAAAAAAACAATACCAGACAATTTATAACAGGGTTATTACCCCTGACACGTACGTTATTTTCTACTTAAAAACAATTTATTTTAATTAAATATTTTTGTGTTTATATGTGTAGGGTATATGACTTTAAAACGAAAAGGTGGATGGGGGGGGGCACGGTGCGGTCAAAAATACTTGACCGGTTGAGTTGGATTTGTAAAGGTGTTTGTTGCTTTATGGAACGGTGGGTGTGTTATTGACATCAAGAGAGGTTAGAGCTGAACACATATCACAATCAAAATACAGAATCAAAATGTTTTGTTTACAATTTGTACACTGGGGTTAAATAACAACAAGTAGAAAATACTCTAGTGATAAACAAATACATCTAAAGAATGATGTGAAATAATTATGAATACATGTGTATTGATACGAGTGGCGGTCAGTAACAAAGGGGAAATAGGGGGTTAACGTAACCAAATTTAGACATTGTCTAGGAAAAGAGTACACAAAGAATGCAATTATATCCTAATTTATAAAAGCCCAATGTGCGCACATCTCTCTCTCTCTCTCTCTCTCTTTCTCTGTCCGCAAAAAATTTTCGCCGGACATCACGTCAGAATCGGCAGCGATATATCGAGAATTTTTTACGGACTTTTGTTGAAAATAATATGTTAGATGTTTTAAATGTATAACCACAATTTTACTTAAAGAAGAAAAATAAAAATTAAAGGCGTATTCGAATGTAGAGAAACAGTATTATTTATGCAACCGGAAAAGCATTAATACATATGAAAAAGAACGCATAAAACTGTGACGTCGCTATTGCTTATACATTAACTAATGACGTCATCTGCTGTGTTTTGAATGAAAAGAAATGAACTATTTCATTCAAATTTGATTTAGATCTACGTACACTATGAAATGTATACAATACAATTTTTCCGGCCTAAACTCATAAAATTTATTTTATTTATTTGGATTCTAGATCTAGAGATTCTAGATCTAGACTAAATCTAAATCTACGCAATAACTAGATCTAGATCTAGACGTAGACGCTAAGATCTAGATTTAGACTCTAACTTCTCTAAAATCAATTCCAAAAATAAATTTCTATATTAGGACTAAACTATTTCAAGACTTATTTATTTTATACAAAATCTTTGTTTGGAACTGGCTAATTTGGGATAAAAAATTAATTTGAAAGAATAGGCATATTCGCGTAAGTTAAGATTTTAAAATACGTGTTTCATTCTCCGTATTTTATAAGGTGCCTAAATAGCGGAGATGTTAATGTACATTAAACCACGCAGGTGGTGCGGGTTCGAGACACAGCAAGTCAACTTGGTTAATGTATTATTTTTTATTATGCTCGGGCTAAACTTAAAAAAAAATTCTTTTAGAAATCTAGATCTAGATCTAGATTGTCGGGTGTCCGATAGGGCACTTCCCGGCGCCGCAGGCGCTTCAAATTTGGCATGATCT